TATATTTTAATTATCAATTATTGTTTTTTTTTATTAATTTTCAATAATTTAATCAATTCAAATGATTACACACATCATCAGATCTTAAATGAAGTTGATAAAGCTATAAGAAATGCAAATCTTAATTTAAATCCAATAATTGAAACAAACAATTCTATCAAAGTCCCCATACCAAAGTAAGAAGAATATTGTATTATTAAATAAGAAAAAATAATAATTAATTTTACTTTATTTTTAACAAGAATAACAACAGAATATCGTGAAGACATAACAAAAGTTGCATCAAAAATTGCCGAGAATTCCAAAATAAAACTTCGACTTATTAGACAAGATGGAATGAAAGATTTAAAGAAGGATTCTAAAAAAAATATTTCAAGTGATCAAATTAAATTATTGGAAAAATCGGTATTTTTTAATATATATTTTATTTTTGGATAAATTTTTTTTGGATATTTATTAATTTGTAAAAAAAAAATTTATATTATTAGCTTCAGTTATTTGTAGATAAATCTGTTAAAGAGATTGATGATGTATTGAAGGCTAAAACAAAAGAAATTTCAGGAAATTAAATTTAGTAATGTCAGCCGATAAATATTGTTGTTGTTGTTTTATTCAACGGATCATTATCTAATGGTTCACTATTACCATTATTTTCTTTATTATTAATTTACCATGGGCATTGGAGCAAATGAATGGTAATGAAATGAATTGGTTGATAAAAAATAAAGAAATAATATATTTATCAGCTGGCTAAGCTGTTTAAAAGTTCTTTGACTGGCTAAACCATTAAATTCATTAGTTGGCTGACAATACCATTAATATTTAAATGCCATCATCATCATCAAAAGATTGTATAATGTTTTTTCTTCAAATAAAATTAAATAAGATTAATAAATATTTATAACTCTATCAATCATTTATTATTTTATCACATATACACACATGGACAAAAAAAAACATTTCATAGCCTAGGTTTGTCAATCCCCTAGCAATTTTTTTTTGACTGACATCAAAACAATGATGTGTATTATCATGTGTCAAAATTTTAGATGAGATTATTTGAAAAATTGATTTTTTTTGAAAGATTTATTTTGTCAAAAAACAATTGAAGTTTTTAAATAAAAAAGTTAATTTAAAAAAATGACAGATTATTGAAGAGGAGAATCTTTTGACACTGAAATTTATAAATCCATCAACCAAGAGCTTGAGGTAAAAGCTGTGTGACAAGGCTAAAAAAAGAATTTCCTTTCCCATATTTTCATCTCTTTATTACCACCATCAAGGTAAATGATGGAAGGCCCATTCCTATATTGGTGTACAGTCATAAAATTTACTATTTCCCCATCTGAAAAGAATGTTGTTTCTTTGTATGTGTAATAATGCATTTACAACATTCTAATGTTAATTTGACCTATCAAGTGATTCTGAAAGTGAAAGCAAATCCATACCAAAACCACCATATTTTAGAGAACATTCCTGAAGATGGTGAATGATGTTACTAAGGAGAATGAAGAGCTAGCTAATATAAAATTGGATTCTAGCATGAATTTCCAAACTTGGAAGGTTAGTAAATATATTAAACAATGGACACAACAACAAGGATAATGAAATCCTAGCTAGGCAGGGGCCAGTCAAAACTATGCCAAATATACAAAGGAATAAAGCCTAATGAACTGAGGCTAAGCAAAGCCCAACATACCAAGGCAGATAGTACAAATATATTATAGATATGCTGGCTCAGGCAGATAATAAAGAAAACATTACCAGAAGGAGGAATAAAATTCCTTCTCAAGGATTAATAGACAAAGAGCTATTAAAAAAATCAACAAGAAAAGCAAATGCAATTGAGATTAAAATATCAAGTAGCATTCAATCACATTTGTATAAATTTAAGTAAAATAATAATTAAAATAAAATACCAAGATTCACCATTAGAAGCAGATTTCAACCTCACAATATTAATAATATAGGGTATGCAGATTATGTATGTAAAATCATAATCTTTTGTTCTTGTGCAAAGAATAAATACAATTATATTAATTATCCAATGTATACATTAAAAAAATAGTTAATTACTCAAAAAAAAATTCAGAAATTAATAAGTTTAATTTTTTTGCGGAATATTAAATTATGCATGCAACTCTTGGTAACCAGCATTGTTCGTAAGGTCTCTCTTAATTAATCAAAAAGGTTCTTTATTGTTTAGTTAATCAAAAATGTTCTTTATTATACAGGTTGGAACCAGTTGGATATAATAGACTTAAAACCGGCTCCTATTTTTCATAATCGATAAACCAGATATAATGAAACCGGTCTATTTCGGGCAACCGGATTTATTAGTACAGTCAATTCTTGTTTCAACGAATTTTTGTTTCAAACGAATGTTATATATAAATTGTGTTACAACGACAACGAATTTTTGGTAGGGATCTTGGAATATAAGAACTAATCGCGTTTCAACGAATTCACGTGGCAATAGATCAACATGTAAATAAAATTAAATCATACAATAAAAAATTAAATCATGCAATATTTAAATTATAAAAAATTAAACATGCGATTTTTTAAAAAACATGTATTCTAATAAATCATGTAATTATTTTCATGATTTTAACTTAAAGATGTAATAAAATGTACGTTTACTTTTGCAATTTTATGTATATAGGAACTTATGATTTATCTTTATTTAAGATGTTATAATAAAACTATAAAACTTATGATTATTTAAAAAAAACATGTACAATTATGATACTGAAAGGTGTGAAAGTTTAATTTTAAGTTCTTAACAATTATCATCCAAAAAATGAGTTTATATTACTGCTGACCAAAAAAGAGAAATTTGTTGATCGAAAAAAAAATAAACCTGAACCAAAAAATATAGATTTAGCAAAACAATTCAATATTAGTGCAGGTCAGGTTAGTGATATATTGAGAGAACCTGAAAGATGGATTAATATAGATCCAAATCCATATCAAGCAAAACTAAAACGATCACATACTTCACCATTTGCTGACGTTGAAGAAACATTGGCTTTATGTATTGAAAAGGCTCTTGAATGTAATTTAACAATCACAGATTTGATTATTCAAAAAAAGGCTACAAATTTTGCTGAACTATTAAACAAAGAATTTAAAGGATCTTCTGGTTGGCTATACAATTTTAAACAAAGATATTCAATCCACAAATATGTTAAACATGGTGAATCACAAGTGCTCCAATTGAAGAGCTTCCAGAAATGATAAGTACTTTGCAAAATCTTCTTAAAGAATATCAATTAGAAGATATTTTTATTTGTGATGAAACTGGTCTTTTCTGGAAAATGAAACCATCTTGTGGATTATCTACAGGCCCTATGTCAGGCACAAAACAAAGTAAAGATAGAGTAACTGTATTGTTAACATGCAATGCTACTGGAACAGATAAATTAATTCCTTTATTTATTCACAAATATCAAAACCCAAGAGCATTAAAAGGAATTAACAAAAATTCTTTACCAGTTGATTATTACTGGAACAGCAAAGCATGGATGCAAATGTCAATCTGGAATGATTATTTAAAAAGATTAAATAAAAAAATGAGTATTGCAAATAGAAAAATATTATTACTTGTTGACAATGCACCTACACACAATTTAATGGAAATTTACAATTAACAAATATAAAAATTCATCACCTACTACCTAATGTAACTGCGCACCTGCAACCATGCAATGCAGGAATAATTCATGGTTCCAAGTTTTGTTAATTCAAGTGTTTAAGCCTATAAATATTTTATTTTATATTAATAATAAATATTTATGCATTACAGGCACATTACTGGAAACTATTACTTGAAAAGAAAAGAAAGGATTATGATTTACAGCTTTCTAATTCTATTTTTACCTCAAGCTAAGTCTTCGTGAGCCAAATCCCTTAATTCATTATCACTGTAATGGTCTTTTAAATACAAAAAAACCTTACCAATAAATTCTTGTTGCTTCGTAGTTAGATAATAAGAACAGGGAAATTCACTTTTTTCCTCATGCAATTTCAAGAAATTTCTGTAAATCTTGATGATGGTGTTGATATAAAAAAGGCAATAAAATATGTTGCAAGAGCTTGGGGTAATGTAACGCCAACCACCATTATCAATTGTTGGAAAAAGACAGGGATTCTTCCTCTGGAAAATGAGCCATCTAATAATGAAATTGAAAATTCAACTCAAATAATTGAAGAGTTATCAAATCAAGAAAGAGTTGTTATTGAAAATTTAATCAATGAATTATCATTTACCTCTCCATTAGAAGCAGAAGAATATATTACAATTGGTAATGAAGGAATAAGTAATAATAGTGAAGTGATAACTGATGAAGAAATTATTGCTTTTTTCAAGCCAATTGAAGAGGAAGTTGTCATTAAAAGTAATATGGCGCCTAATGTTTCAATAAAAGATGCTGTAAATGCCCTTGAGACTGTTTACAATTTTCTAGAACAAGGTGATATAGAAATAGACTATATTGAATCTAAATCTTTTAAATCATTAAAAAGAAAAATAACATTATATTACTGAATCATGATGAGCTAAGATTTTTATTGAAGAAAGATATTTATATATATAGTAAATTTATTATAATTTGAACTATGCATCTGGAAAATATAAAAAAAAATTGCACATGTCAATCATAAGTTTAATAATAAAAAAGTGTAAAACTTATGTCAGTGCCATAAGATTTACATGATATTATGTTGGTGTCATAAGATTGATTTATGCTAAATTAATTTCCTGATGATTAGTATATCAGGACAACATGCTGTATATTAATTCAAAAAATGGCATCCTTGATATTGCTTAATTCTAAGTGTGCATGCATAATAGCTATAAATGTATATATGTATGTAATTTAAAACTCAACAAGTTTGCATTATTTTAATTTATATATGAAAAGATCTGCATAAAATTTAGCCAATCATTTTTTGTTTTGATTCTTTTTTAGAATATTTTAGAATTACACAATGAATCTAGAATGTTGATCATTACAGTATTTGGAAATTCCAAATTTGGAAAAAATCCTGACTGTATAATGATCAATATTATTCTGTATATATATACAGATCCTTTTGTTGATATCAGAACATTTTTATGGTAAAAATGAGAGGCTCTCATTAACTCATAAAAAATACTGCAGTTATATTCAAAGAAGATGAGGATATGGATGGGGAATATCAAGGGAGTTAGAATGCTGCTCAAAGAGATAAATATTGGTACAATTATATTTAATCAAGTGAAAAAACCATAGTAGGAAACTATTATCATTTTTCATTGTGATTATTCTTCTTTAATCTAAAAAAATTGGATTAGTCAGAACTTATGAAAAAAGAGCACCTACATGTCTAAGCTTTAGATAATTAACAACCTTGGTATACCACCCTCTATAAGATGTAATTGGATGTGTCAAAGGTGCATTCCAAGGAGTTAAGAGTAAGTTACACTTGGGGATTTTCACCAAAAATTCCTGGCAAAAACTCCACAATATTTTATTGTTGCTATTACATATCATCTCTTTATAAAGAAAAAAATAAAGGTAAAAATAATGTGTAATCTTGCTATTTTTATTTAAGAATGAGTTTATCATTAGGTGAATGCAAGTATAACAATACCTGCACCTGCCAGAGATTTAGAGCAAAACTTGATGATGAATTAACCTGTCTTTATTGTTCTCATGATGGCTATCATGAAGAGACTAGCAATGCTGTCACAAGTATAAATTTATTTCAAGTTCAACACATTTATTTTTAAGTGTATTATAATTTATATATTAATTAATTATTAAATTGTCAATGCTGTAATTTTATTAGATTTTTTTTAACCCAAGTAGTCAAAATGAGGAGGAAGCTTTAAATAGTATTCCAAGTATTTAGATCTTAGTTACATTTAATAATATATATTTAAATTTGTTAAACAACTCAGGTTCTTATTGGTTTTTCCAAAAATAAGTGTAAATCTAATAAATCTAATGCTAAGTAATTTATTAATTGTCAAGTCTGGAAAAAAATGTTCGTTATGCATAAGAAAATAAATAAAATGCTAACCAAAATTGATTAATATTGACACAGATAAGTTTAATGTTTATTTAAGATGTTTGCATCAGATTGTATAATTGCAGTTCTTCTGGATCAGTGATGGTTGCGATAGTCCTTATAAGAAATGCCTTCTTATAAAAGAAGGAAATAATGAACACCTTCTGACAAAGGAAGGAAATAGTTGCTATTATTATTATCTTTTTTTTTGCCTTCAGTTTTATTATTATTAATTGTGATTTTAATTTTAATTGGAAAATAATTATTTTTTTCAGTCATCAGAAATATTGATTTCATCATAATGAACAAGTCAATTTATATGTGTACCCTCACAAGAAAAATTTTTCAAGTAATTAATGAATCTTTTAGACTTTAGACAATTACATCTTTATGTGGAAAATGGTATTATTGTTATAAATCTGAATCTGGTTGTTATAAATCTTGCTAATGCCATTAGTAAATCTCTTTAAAAATAAACCAGACTTTGATTTTATTTATTATTGTTATAATTAATCTGGAACTTTCAATGCTTAAGAAATTTATCAACGGATTGAATTACAGAGGAGTGGGGGGGACTTGTGATTGACAGAAAAAATTTAAAAGTTTAAATTTAAAAAATGCCATTAAAATTAAATTGATTTTTAAATTTTTAATATTAAAATTAATTAATTAGATATGTAATATACAATTTTCTTCAATCATCTCCACCATCAAAATCTCCACCACCATCATCTCCGCCACCAAAGAATGGTACAGCTAAATGAAACCACCTAAAATAATAGATTAATGATCATTAATTAATTAGCAAAAACATATATATATATATATAATAATAATATAATTGTGTGCTAACCCTCCACCATGTTCAGAATGACGAGAGAAATAATCGAAATCAATTGAAATTGCTGCTGCTAATATAACAGCTCTCTCATCCAATGACAAAGGTCGTACACTACCTTCTACTGAATCCATTCTAATTACATATTGTCCTGTATCAGTAAATATCTATATATACATAAAAAGAATTAATTAAATGTGTTAATAATATAATTATTATTTTGTAAGAATATATATGGTTTTATTTTACCTCTCTTGCAAAACCACTAAAATTACGATTAACACTACCAAGTAATCCACCACTTTCATCTTCCAAATTAAAATCCCACGCCCAAAATCCTGCATCAATTCTTGCAAATTGTCTTTTACTATCAAATTAATAATAAAAGATTGGAATGAATAATTAAATTTAAATCAATAAACCACAAAAAACTACTTACTTTACAAATAAATTATATATTCTTCTCCATAAATGCCATTGTTGTTGCACTTCACCAATCAATTCATTATCTTGTCCTTCATAAATAAATATATGAGAATTAATCCAAGCAAAAGGTCGATGAACCTTTAACACTATTTCAGCCTGTTCATTCAATATTAGTGCACTAAATCTCCTATGTGTTCGAAATACTTGTCTCAAAATTGTTGAAATGAATGATGATTCCTCCTCTGCTATAAATCCTACACTGTTACCAAATGGATCTAGTATTACATATTTATTTGCTTGTTCAAATCCCTTTTTTATCACATAATAATTTATATTTTTATCAGAATTTGCTAATTAATTAACCAACCAATTATTTTATTTCTAAAGTTTTTGTTTTCAATTATTTTACATATTATACATACCATAAAAACATTTAACATTTCTATTTGTCTACCAACAACTAAAGCAGACTTTGCCAAAATTTTTGATGCAGGTTTTTCATCAGTTAATACATTGGACACATTTGATGGTAAATTAACATCAATAGAAGCTGCTTTTGATGGAAGGTTTTCTCCGCCATCATCATTATAGTTTTTATAATCTTGCCTTTTAGTTTTAAAGATGTCTATTGGTCTATTTTGTTGTATTCTGCTTGTACCAACAACACCTACTATACAAGATATAATATTTTTTAAAGGTATAATTTGATAACTTGGAGAAAAAAGAAAGATAAACCTACAATTTTCTCCAAAAAATTTTATAATACTAACCTACCTCTTGGAGTTCTTTTTAATGTTGAATAATAATAATTTTGTATATGTGTTTTTGAAATATAATATGCAATTGAATGTTGCTGATTATGATTATAATTAATTAAAGAATTTATTGATTTTTTTGAACAGAATTGTAAAGTTCTAATTGATTTGAATAACATTTTTTCTGAGAATTATAGTAATATGGGACATCAAAAACCAACATTATATCACCTAAAGATTTCAGGGATCAATTTAGTATAATTGCGATAACATTTTTTTAATTTTTATTTAATAATTATATCCCAACTAAATAAGTCAATTCAGGGCGGGGTTTTGGAATTGGACCTTGTTATAAATTATTTTTGTACCCATGCCAAAGCAAATTAATTCGTTATTATTATTTATTATTATGGAATGTATAGCAGTATCACCTTTGTATTAATTGGCTTTTAATTATATAGTAATAGCTGTAATAGCTAAAATACAACAAAAAAATGTTTGATTAATACAAGGAAGGAAGGAATGGGATAGTTTGTATTTATAAGATAAAGTATATTTGCAAGAATCCTCGCTAAAAAAATTTTCATCAAGAAGTTTATGTAAGCTTATTTTTGCTCGTATTGAATATAAAGTTTTTAGTTTCTCTTTAGTTTTTTTTGAAGCTGGTAAGTTTTCAGTAGATCTTTTTAATGAAGACACGTTTAAGGATAGGTAATAGTTGATGATGATAAATTTTTACTTCTTTATACAAAGAATTTAATAATGATAATTTTAATGATTGCTAAAAATACGTTATAATCGCTATAATCACAATGACAATGAAGATAACAATGATAATAATAACAACAAAGTTAATAGTAACAAAGATATAGCAATAAAGATAACAACAATGAACAAGGAAGGCAAAAACAACAACGCAAGCTTGAACTTTTAACAATAAAAAAATATCAGTTGGTACCATTTCAGGAATTTCACATTTGTGTGGGCGATTGCTGAGCGAGAAGGAATTATAAAAGCTCATGAAATACCTAGTTATATATATGTAATTTTTGATATTAACGAACAACAATATTAATAATGAATGAAATTTACGAGAACGCAACGTGAGCTTTTGCTTTTTTACGTATTACACTATCATGCATGCCATGCTACGGGAGATTAAAATTTTATTTATTTTAGTATCGCGTTGACATTAAAGTTAAGTTGGTTTGTATTGCGTATTCGTCGCAAAGAGCAAAAAAATCACATCACTTTGGTCAAGGCAATAATAAATAGGAAGGCCCGAATTTTTTCTCTAAATTTTCATAGATATTCTTTGGAGCATCAAAGTTAGCACTGGATGTGAAGAATCCTAGTGTCCATGATAAATGATGCTGTTTTTAATAAAATAGACTATTTCGTGGCCAAATGATTCATTGATCGAGTAGTCTAATAAATTACTACATAAACATATAAATAGACCCGCTACCCCACTTGTAGACCAAAAATTGTGCATCATACTTGCTTTTCACGTTGCATTCGAACTCGGGGGTTAAAGTACATGGTGCCAAAATGGCATTCTATGGTTTGGTTTTACACGTTGCATTCAAATGTGAGGGTTAAGGAATACTCCACATTATTATCCATTTGTTGAGAAAAAATTTGTTTGTTTGTTTTTTATTTATTTTAATGATTAAAGAGTCATTACGCGAACAAAGAATTTAATAAATTTAATAAAAGTCTAATTCCATTTGAGATATAGATGGCTGAAAAGATGGAAATTCCCTTGATGGATGTGTATAATTGATGAAAAGAAACATGTATATCATCATTTATATAATGGTAATGATAACATTAAGAAGTTTATGAACAGATAATAAATATTTATTTAATTATATCTTGTAATAAATTTAATCTTTTCCATCGGGATACTCGATAACTATATTATTGTTGTATTATTATAATTATGAGCTGTACCCTTAGATGCAAGCTTCCGTCCTCTCTCAATTTGTTCCATCCTTCCTGTCCTTCCACCATCATCTAATAAAAAACATATACATAGAAAAAAAATAAAGAATTAGTAACGAAAGAGCCACGCACTGCCAAGGGTGCACGATTGATGATAAATTACATATTTATATGAAAACACATTTTTACCACTTGGTGCTTCGGAACCAATTAATTGTTTACGATTAAAAGCTTGGTTTTTTTGCTCTTATGGTAATCTACTAATACTAATAGAAATGCAAGTAGTAGGTTAAGATTTTCTGATTATAACCCTGATAGATTTTCCAGTGATTTATTTAACTCTATTACCAATCGTAGTAATAATAATAGTATTAGTAGTACTGGCACTAATGTGACTAGTAATAGTAATGGTGGTGGTATACCTCCGATTCCGTTCAGTTTTTTTAATAACGAAGGATTTTCCAGTAATTCATCCAATACTGGCGATCCTACAACTACAACAACCAGTAATAATAATAACAGCACTAGCACTAATGAAACTAATAATACTGTATTTGGTCCTGTTTTTATTGGTCCAGAGCGAATGAATTACGATATTACTAACAATACTGGTATTAATATTCCAAGTGGAACTAACGGCTCTTCACATCATTTCAGGCCTCTAGGTTTTAATGCAACCAATATATTCAATAATGAAGCTTACACAGATAGAACTTATAATAACAGTAGTAATAGTAATAATAATAGTAGTAATAATACTCGAACTACTAGATCTTTATCAAGATTGTTCAGATTTACTACAAATAATAATAATAATACTCCCAGAAGAATTTTCAGAAATTTTTCTAGCAATAGTAGTAGTAGTAGTAGTAGTAATGATAGTGATGGTATTAATAGGAGTGAAAATAATAGATATTCAACACCATTCAGATTTGATCTTAATCCTGAAAGACTTTCAAGTAATTTATTCAATTTTAATAATCGTACTACTACTAATACCACTAGCACTAGTGATAATGAAAGATCTAATAATATTAGAAATATACCCCCAATTCCATTTAGATTTGGTGAAGATTTTGCTAATAACAATGACAATGGTAATTCTGATTCAAATGATAATAATAGTAGTAGTAGCAATAGTAGTAACAGAAGAAGAAGAAGAAGAAGAAGAAGAAGATTGGTTAGTAGATCCCCAACTCCTTTTAGATTTGATTTTAATCATGAAAGATTTTCTAGTAATGTATCCAATGATGATGATACAACTAGTAACACTAATAATAGACCAAGATCTCCAACCTCCTTCAGATTTGATTTTAATTTCGAAAGACCTTTAATTAACAATAGCATTATTACTAATGATAATCATAGCAATGATAATGATAACGATAATGATAACAATAGAACTTATAATAATGTGAGAAATAGACCACCAACACCTTTCAGATTCGGTGATCGTGGTCGCGATTTCGATTTTAATTTTGAAAGTCTTTCAACTAATAATAATATTACTGACACTAGGAACAATAATAATAGTAACAGTATTAGAAACAATCCATTCAGATTTGGTGATTATATTACTCACAGATTATTTAATACCAACATTACCAATAACGACAATAATAACAATACTGATGATGAATTAAATGACAATGGTTCTAACAGCAACACTACTAATAACAACACTACTAATAATAATAATAATTATAATAATAGTTTTGATGAACTTGTCGGTGGTTCTGATGATCATAATATTAACAATAATAACAATCCAAGTAGATTAAATAACAATAACAATAATAATAATAATAAAAATAAAAATAATAATACTTTTGTTCGATTTGACTCTTCTAACAATAATAATAGTAGTAATGATGCTAGTACTCGTAATAGTAATAATAGTATTTTTGGGTCGTTCAATACTAATATTTTTACTCCCACTACACCTATTTCTGTTCCTGCTAGAATTCCTATTAGACTTGTTAGTAATAGTAGATCTTTAAATAATTGCAATAGTGGCAATAATGATGCTGATGATAATAGTGACAGCGTTTATAATAATTCCAGCGCTAACAGTAGCAATGGCATCAATAATGATAATAATAGCAAAGAAGAGACAGAAGCTATCAATAATGAAAAAATATCAAAAATACCACAATCACAATCACAATTAGCACCAGCATTCCCAATATTCCCATCATCAATTTGGAACTATAGTGATGACTATAACAACAACAGTAATAAAAATAATAATAGTAACAGTAGTAGTAATAATAGTAATAGTAATAATAATAATAATAATAATAATAATAATAATAGTGATATCGAAGATGAAATATTTTCTTATATTGAAGATGAAATGTCTAAATTACGTAAAAGATTAGAAGATAATGAATCTGATGAAAATGACATTGATATCGATAATGTTGAGTTTATTAATGGTGAAAAAATATGAATGAATGGTGATGTTAACGAAGTTAGTTCTAGTTGCGTTGCTGGAACTGCTCCTGAAGGTTATTAAACTTATTATCTCTATTAATATCATTATTTTTAATTAGTATTTATTTATTCATTTGATATCAATAATACATAATCATTTAAGATTTAGTTATTTAGTCAATTAAGATTTAATTAGTAGAATTAATTAATTAATGCAATGCCTGCCTTCGTTACTCACTTTAATCGTTGATTTTCCTATCATCATCATTCGTTAAAATTAACAATTTGATAATTTATTGTGCTTGGGTATAATCTTTATATTTTTGTCTCTCTTGAACCTATCCGAATGTTCTATAATACCATCGATTAAAAGTTCAATATTATTAATATTGAGGTTTTTACGTCACGTGTACATTTTATATAATAATAACGTGCGTGATAAAGAAAATTGTCAGAATTAAACAGTAATAAATAAATAATATAGAAAAGTTCTATTAAAAGGAAAACTATTTCACAACATTCATTACACACGGTAAGCACCGTGACATCACAAATTATATTGCCGATTGGGGTGTTAGATATTAGTATAATTACAAATACATTCGGCGCTCGATATAGTGAAGTTTTGGCTAGTACAAATTTGAAAACTATCTTCTGAAAAATTGAATTTGATTGGATATTAACGCAGATAGTTTCCAAATTTGTACTAGCCAAAACTTCACTATATCGAGCGCCGACT